GTAATATGGTCCTAGTTTCCAACTTCACACTGAACTCTTGTACGCGTGTGTATGCGGGCATATGTGTATGTATGCATATCCATTGGTCTTGTCGGTTTTTTTTACTGTATAGGTGTGCATCTATCTGATATGCTTTTAATCCTACGGGCCACACACACACGTAAACATCGTGTGTGACCCTGTCTCACAGGCGGTGTCAAAAGATCAACTGACTACCGAGTTTATATTGCGTTGCACTATGTCCCTCTTGGCACACATGCTAGTGTACACCTGCACAAGTACGTTTATTTGTATGCACCGGGGCACCAGTTTGTGGGGCCTGATCGCAGTACAAAATAAACTGGTATTTACAACGTAGGTGCAATACATTAGGTTTAGACTACTTTCGAAAACCAAGATTAAAGTAGACTGTTTGGTCCGGATGCTCCAAATGTAGATCTTAATTTTTACATTTTGGTAATCTTTGGACATCTTTCGGGTATTGCGTAACTTCCCAATGCTGTACAGTACGATCTTATCATCTAATTAGTTGACCGTGTTTTGACAGCATAATGTACACTGCGAATTTGTAGATGAAGCTCTTACTGGTCACTTGACAATTTTTATGTCCATGCATGATATTTTTGAAAACTGGTATTTTCAGTCAGATGCATTTTCATTTACCCCCACTACATCAGATGTTTACATCTAAGACGATGCTTCACCTGAAGCTTTGTGCCGCATGAGGCTTCAGTGAAGCCAGTCTAATTGCCCCAGTGGCTATGGGTTTCTAACCGCCAGTCTGTCTAAGTGTGCGCTTGTTTGCGTCATTGCGCACGTACGGAGCCAAACTAACTCCAAGCACTTTTTCAGATTTTCTATTGATTTTTTCAATGGGACAGTATAATTCGAAGTGACCGTCTGTTGATGGTCATAGAACCCCTAATGTAGCGAATTTATTTTCGTTCTGTTGATATTTGTCCTGGTTGCTTGTCGTTTTTCCCGATAAACAAATCGGTAGTTTCATGGATTATGTTGAAGAAGAATGCGTTAAACGTCACTGCCGAAGTACTCCTTCTCTGTTACATTTTTGCTTTTGCCGGTTTCAATTTCAGTCGTCCTGATAGCTCCAAGTGTGTTTACCTAGACGATAGTATTAGAGCAGATATGTTCTTGTCCTGTTTCATTCCCTTATACATATTATCAGCTTTTGTTGAATTCAGCTGGCCGTTTTTAAATAAATTACACATTACTTGTGTTGTTCTGTGTTCTTTTTCAACGGTCCTTATTATCAAATCGATAGTATATCGATTAAGCCCACAATACCTGTGCGTTGCGGTTCCTGTTTTTATATGTGGTTGACATTTTAACATATGTGACTGGTTCACGCATGAGGTAGTTTGATCCGGTTAATCCTATTATTGATTGTTTACCTTCTCACTCTTATTCACTACAACTTTTCTCTGCTTTCAGCTTTGTTTTGTCAGTTTGTCATATCGCTGCTTTAGGTTTTGCTATTCTCTTCACCGTTGAGAAAGAATCAGTGTAATCATAATTTTGATGAGCGTTTTTCTTTTGGAATATACACGCGTTCTTGTTGATGCTTTTTCGGAAATCGTGTCGCAGAAAGTTTGCACTCTACTACCCCTTTTCATTGTATCAAGCTTTTTATGTTTCAGATAATTATCAAATATGAACACGTTATGCTATCGATTCGATTGTATATCTGTGTCGCAAAAGATTCATTTTATCCACACTTGAAGCCTCCATCTTTTCAGTCAGAGTTACCCTGTTATATGCATTTCGTTCCTTTTGAAAAAGTTCGGTCTTAACCCTCGTTTTCATGTTGGAGTCGCTTTCTTTGAGATAAATACGTTCCTGTTTATTGCCGTTTGGGGCTATTTCATCGGTTCATTGCGTAATCTGATTACTCATCTCCGGCTGCATCAAAGATAATTAAATATCTTTGGCGTCACTAGTGACATGTGCTACGTCATTGTCGGTTGCTACCGCCCGTGCAAATTTAGCCTGTCGATTTGTATCGAGTGTCAGTTCTCTGGTATCTTTTTTCAACCATTCACAGGCATTGATGTGTTTGGTTGCATACTGTTCCGTGGGTGGTACAACATACTTAGCTAATCAACAAGGCGTCACTGTCGCACGTTTATTTATGTAATCATTTGGCGCCAGTTTGTCCTTCCGAACGGAATCGCATAAATAATTAATCTTTCACATGAATCAGTCAGCTCTCAGACATGATAAATTTGGACCTGATTGAAGCGTATTTGATTGACAGCTTTTATGGCGTTAGCTGATTAGTAAGTTTGTACATTATTGTGGTCATTTTTATCCAAAGGTGACTGGTAACCTAGATCATATTCAAAAAAAGTATTCCCTCTATCCAGTTCTCTTTCTTTGTGTACTCTCAAATAATGAAACCAACTGGTTTCAATTTCCTTAACGGCGCAGCTACTTGGAATCCTTTTCTTGATACGATCAGTAATTCGCATGCAATTCTGAAGTCTGTTCATTGGCATCGATTTTTCTCTCATAGGGCTAAATTTGCTGGTATTGCTTATTTTTCTTCATAATTTTCATACTCTTCTGCGACAATCACTTACACATACCTCATCAACAGGAGGTGAAGGACTGGTCGCAAAATACGCGCAGCTTTTCTTGTTTTTAATTTGATCTTTGTGCTGTACATATAGTCGAATCGAACCCATCTGACTCACTCATCCCAATTAAGTTGATAAGTAAAGCATCATGAATTTCGAGCGTGCGCGTACAAAGCGTAGGCGCTGTCCATACGTCGGTTCGAATCCCACCGAGGCTACTAAACTTTTCACAATCGCCATACAAATTTCGAACCAATCGATTACGATGTTAACAGCTCGCTGTTTGTTTCCCCCAGGCACTCGGCAGTTGATTGGCAATAACGGAAGAATAGAACGTACTGCAGCTATGTTGATTTGATAGAAAGTGGGATTTATTTCAAATGTTTGTGTGTTTCAGGTTGGTTGTAATCATTGGGGTTTTTGAGACCTTTTTGACTCCTGTTAGCTACATTTTGTGGGACTTGAGATGGGCTGTAATCGTGGTTCAATAGAATTATTACGTTCAACAATTACTGTAACTTGGATGTGAGACCGTTCCGTTATAATCCTTCTGGAACCTTGACACTGTGTTACTGACACTAATAGATGATGGGTTGGATGTACCGAGTCTGACACCTCTAAAAGAAGTGTGAAATGTACAGAACAGCAATTATTGAATATCTCATGTGAGTGATGGAGGATTTGATTCAATTTCAAATGGGAATTCGTTGTGTATATAGCAAATGAAGCATGAACTGGAATGCTCGGAAGCACTGGACAGCTGTTTCGACCTGGTTGGGTCTCATCCGCAGTGCGAATCCATCGACTCAACTGGGGCTCGAACCCGGGACTTCATGGGCAGAACACAAACGTGCTACCCACCTCACCACCGGGCCGCTGATCAGACCGTTTTCATTTTCCATTCACACGATTTAGATCGTGAGCAGCCACGTTGTTATCTCCTTCCGGTTTTGTTTTCACTCACTGACATGCTTCCATCATCCAATAAGACGGTGCTCATTTTGATTGTATTTTTCCGGATACTGGATAATATGAATTCTCGGTCATAATGCATTATTTCTTTTTCTCGTTTTATTTTTTCGCAGAGGAGCTGTAACTATTCGTAAAATCTGTTTCTTATTTGATGCATTTTCCTAATGATCGTCTACTACTAGCTCTAGTTGTTAGCGTATCAAAGTCTATTGGATGCGATGGTCACTGTGAAACTTATTCCCTTTTCTCTCGGTCACCAGTATTTAGGTGTCAGTGGTCAGTGTTCCGTTTCGGCGAAATTTCATCGTCTGTTCCCTGTCCGTCTTCTTCCACTGACAAGTTACGTGTCTAAATCTGTAGACTTGAACACTCATCACTATTTTTCCATGAATACCTGGTTTCACCTGACACACTTGTTTACCTTACGTATGGATGCCAATTTCGTTTCAAAACTGTAAATAGACTAAAAACCTGGTCCCGACAGACTTCTCTGCTCTTACTGTTTCTGTCAATAAGTTTTACCTGGCTATCTTCATTTGGCCTAATGAAAGTATTTGATCCTAATCTACACGCTTTTTGACCTCCGGTACATTCGATTTTGCTCTCGAGATCGCTCGTAACATACGTATAACCTAAGCACAATGATCGCATTCCATATTTCATTTGTGAATAAAAAGAACATATAGTAGTTGATAGAATTATCCTAATCACAAATTACTGGAGTTTTTGCATGCTTGACTGAGTCTGTGGTGTTATTCCGGTGTATAGTTTCCCTCGGGTTTTTCACTTTGTCCCTTGATGTATGTTTCTGTTGCTCCCAGTTGAAGTGGTTAATTTAGTTATGTAGTCCGGTTCATACCCGCTTTCCAGCCTGACTCTTCTCACTCTGTATCAATTTTGCTGCTTTCTAAAAAATTTCAAGACGTGCGTTTCCCGTCCAAAAATGTAATAAAAATGACTCGTCCACTCTGAGTATCTACATCAAGGTGCTTTCTTGCTATCTTGGTACTCAATGCAATTTTTTTGTATTCTTGTGGGGAATTGTTCAGTGAAATCACTGAATGTCAGAATTTTCCGGTATCTTTCGCTTTTCATTTTCCGACCCCAGAAAATGTTTGTCTTTCTAAGGTGTCGACGTATTGGTTGTCATAATTGTCAGTGTTTAACTACAGGGTCATTGTTTGGCCCTTTACCACCGCGTAATCCTTTCGTATCACGAAGTCGACAGTTTTATGCCTCCTGGTGATCATTAGAGAGTCTACCCTACCCTGTCTCAGCATTGTTTATTGGCTTTAATCTTTTTGCCAATAGTCGCGCGTCTCCCACGCGAATAGTTTGTCACATTGTAACATTTTTCCAGTTTCTTGATCGTTGGAAAACAGCGACAACTTTGTAATTCTAGAATATGCGAAATTCAGTCAGGCGTGACTTATGTCGACCATCGCCACTTACTTCATTCTATTTATTGCTGATAACATCGCGATTGTGTGTACGTGTTTTTTGTCCGTACGGTATGTTCAAACTCATTTGTGGATGCAGATTTCGCAGGCCATTCCAGTTCAACCGTTCGCTGTTTTTGCGCATGCACAACCGCACAATAACTGGCACCTTTGGTATATGGTTTGTCCTTCAATGCTAACGCTATGCTTACACAAGCACACCTAATTTGGAATACCAGATACATCCGCAGTAACCACGACGCAAAACACCCTATCCGTTAGAAATCATTCACACCGACTTGAAAACACTGGGCTTCAAGCCTAGTTTGCGGCATTTCCAAAAGGTGTGTCGATTGGCCTTGTATTCTCATAGTGCCAGCAATACTCCTCCCCACGTCGAGCGGGCGAAAGAATTTGGCTTTGCATTTGTGCTTGCCTACTCTGAAGACATTTTAAGGGTTTTTTTCCTGTTTCGCGCAAAATGATACCTTCTTTATTGTCGAAAGCCTTAATAACCGGGAAGTAGTGTAGTACTGTAATTTTCCTGTCGTCAGAAAGGAAAAAAACAAAGAAGTGATTTACTACAACCGCTTGTTGGTTCCCAGCCGTTCTCAGCTATGTGAAACATATGGTTTGTCCTTAACTAAAGGTGTCCTACAAAACCGATGTTTTAGTGGTTTTGATGATGTACTTGGCATCTCTGACCAAGACTTTGACCGGGATACTTCCTCACTTTTCAATGCATGCTGTTTCATTTAACCTCATTTTAATCTTCTTATAACATTGGTTACACTCTGGAGGCCGCTAAACTTGCGAAATTTGAGGCGCTACAATTTGTAAAGAAGGCTTACACCGATCTCGAGTAGACTCACTTTTCCGTACACAGCTTTGAATCGTACGAAGATGAAGCTGCTTAGCACCAAAGTGGGTTGATGGAAGTGGACATCGAACTTCAGATAAGTCAGGAGTTCTGCAATATGCACCAGTTCAGATTCCGGGTCTGTAACGAAGACCAGATTAATTCGTGGTTGCTTCGATCATCGGTATCCCCACTGCTCCGCAGTATGCTTTTACATTGCGAGAGATGGCGAGTTTTTCCTGCCTAGAAATCATAAATCACTTAAGACTTTGTTGTTGTTTATGTGAAACGTTTTGGTATATATGGTTTTTATGGAGGTGCATTCATCAAGTCGATTCAGAATACAACTCACCATTGAAAAGGCTTAAGAGCCCTTGTTAGAAATCAACTGGAATTCAATCCCAGACATAAGGGGATGTTAATCTGACATGCTAATCACTTGAGCCATCTGGACGAGCTCTCAACAGCTTGCTTCACGTCAATTCTACGTGCTGTAGCACTTATCCGCCACCGTCTTTCAAATAACCGCCCCTAACCGAACAATGGTCGATTCGCTGTAGCATCTATGGAGGTTCCCAATGGCTGGTTGCGTATCGAATTTGCTTGATGAATACTCCTTTGTCGTTGTTAGAAATTACTCTGATCATTCCTGTTCACTTCCATTTCCTCAACTTCTGTACACGGATAATCGGATGCCCTTTCTGTTCACTCTTTTTCACAATAAAATTTTTTTAATACGTGCTCTTGAAAATCCTTCTATCTGCCGAAAGCCGATTTGTATTTTTGAGTCTATCATTCCTTTCATAATTGTCCGAGAACTCACATTCGGTTTTAACCTAAATCTCCAAACAGGCTGTTTCCGAAATGAATTTTCTTCTCATCTTTAGCCTTATCGCGTTCCAATGTACGCTATCATATTGCCCTCATTTATTGCTATTTCTTTTTTTTACCGCCATTGCTTTTTCTGCGATACATATCTGGTTGTGAGCTCATGTTTTGTTTTGGTCCCCTCTGCAGTCGGATCGTGCACTGTCCGAGACGCACGATCAAGGCAATGGACCACAAGATGAAGAGAGTAATTATAAAAACGTCAGCACAGTGTCTTCTGATGGAGCCTCTGTTATTGAAAACTCTGCGCGAAGTAACACGAAAAGAGACAGCCCATCATACAACCTTGTTCCCTATGTAGTTAGCTCGGATTCATCACAGTGTCATTCGATAACTCGCAGTCTTACCGCAACCACCAACACTACCGCGGTTGATGGAACGGACGTCAATGGAATCGGAAAAGTCAGTCCATTACGTCTGTCGCGGGTGGCGAAAACTGATGTGACGCGATCGGCGAGTAACACGCGTCATTCATCCGTGACACCTGTCTCCGATCCTGATCATGGTAGTGCGCATTCCAGTGTGGCAGATTCTGGTCCGTCTGGGAAACACAGCCCATCCTCAGTTACTTCAACTTACCCCTCCCCCCCTGGATCGGTTTTGAGCACTGCCCGCAATTGTCATCTTACACCGCTCTCGGTCACTTGGAATCCGCCAGTTCTGGTAAGTTTTTATTTATGTGCGCAACTAATTGATTGTTGAATTTTTCCTTCAAATGATGTGTGCATCGTGAATAATAATTTTCGCATATGGCTTATATACCCTGTGTTATTTCAATTATCAGCTTGTCGAAGATTTCGAGTTATATTCATCCAATCCTGGACTGATTCGGTTTACATTACAACTGCTGCAGCAAAATCAGTGCGACCGTTAAGTCAATTTTATGCACTTCCGATTGCGGAAGCTCTGGAGTAGTATGTGACTGTATGGTATATAACTATCATTCCCTGGTTGGTTAATCTCGTACTACTACTATTCCTATTTCATATGTACTTTCAATTTTTGGATAATAATCTATTCACTCCCGGTTATCTTTGTTAGCTAAGCTTATTATTCATCCCGTTCCAAATGTCTTAGTCCTCCCCGTATGAACTGTATGTCGTGCGCAAATCAAACAATCTGACTAACGCTTTCTACCAGTTGAACACATGTTTGCGGTTTGTAATTGTTTGGGTTCTGCTCGGCCCTATTGTGCTAGTTGTTGTTCATGTGGATTCCCGTTAATGAAACGTTTTATACCCACTCGTTGTGGGCATCTTTTTTATTATTCTATTTCAAATTTATATCCTTAGCGCGCACACACACACCGAAAAACCTTATCAAGGCGTACTTCTATCGCCCAGCAAACAATGTTGTTCTAAGCAAGATGTGTTCTCTCAGTACTTGGCCTAGGCCCATATGTTCATGATTTCCACGCCCAGTTATCCTCCGATAACTGTGCTGGGTGACACGGTTATTTATTTTGCCGATTATTGTGCTGAAGCTGGATAGAGAGCCGTGCCACGGAACTCATAGAGCCGGGCTTTCATTATGTTGTCAATGTTTTTTTTCGCCCCACTACTTTTAGACTATCCGTTTATTTTACATTTATTTCTTACGCCTTTTTTTAGTTTGCACGCACATTGTATAGCAAACTTCTTTCTTTTCACATGCCGACAATTCAACGAGTGTTTTCAGTTTCGAGTGTTTGTAGTTGGTGTAGTTTGTATCAAATTATGATATGTACAATTAACAATGCGCACACCAGGTTACTGACCTCAACGCTGGTAGGTCTATTTGGTCTTAACTACTCTTTGAAGCTATTGGATGTTGTTGTTCGAACGGTCGATCGAAATAATTTTCTTTATCGATTGATTCAGGTCTGTCTCTTCACACTTTGACAGCCTACTCTTGATCACATATATTTCCCACCACCATTGTAACATCCTCCGTTGAGCGAAAAGCACTTGAAGTTTCGTTGGATTGATGCTCATCAATTACCTCTGTTCTCGTTCAAATAGCTTGCGAGCCCTGAATCTGTTCTGTTTGTTTTAATCTCTTGCGCCCCAACGAGACTATCTCGTGTTGTGGCAGAGGATTGCCAACGTCAAAACACTACTTCGCTTTTGGTTTTACTTGTACAAATTCCCCTACAGAATACATTCCTTCCCGACCGTAGTTACAAAGAGCTATGCTCACGAAATTTACCAAATTCATACAGGCGATCTTGGCCACATTCATATATAGGCTTTGCTTTTTGAATCTAAATGAATTGACTATTGACAAAAAAGACTTTTATGTCGTAATTTTCCTAACGGCGGATCGCAGTTTTTTCGATGGTTCTGGAAAATCCTAAACTGGTCAAAACTCTATGCATAGCTTTGCAGTATATCTAACTGTTTTCGTAGTTTTATTTGAGTCTTGTTTGAATCTCATCTTGTAATGTTCAAGGTGGTTTTTTGAGGTTATTGACTTAATGAAACAGGTTTTACAACGCGGGATAGTTTTCTGCTCGTACTCAAATGATTTTGATACAGACAAATTACACTTCAATTTTTTCCGTATTAGTCCCTGTCTTCTAGGTTATCCGAGTTCAACCACGTGATTAAGTGGTTCCGCTAATCACCGGAAACACTCATTTCGTAGAAACACTTCCAACTTTCCCTGTATATTTATACTGATGAATATTCTGTTTTAAATTGACCTCATATCACATCCTTTTTATTGAAGCCTTATGCTCATTATCGCTTCCTGCGTGTTTATCCATTCTGCTGATACCGTTGATGGTAAGATTTAGCTTATCCGTTTGATAGTAGGTTGCAAAACGGTATTTACAGACACTTCAGAGTATTGCGTCAATTCTGTTAAGTTTTCATTTGATAGTGTTTACTTTCTTGCACTACATTTTGTTGCAGCATTCTTCTCCTAAGAGTTTCGGAGAACACTGGACCTCTGGTTCTCGTCCAAACGGGGAATGTGAGTTACGTAAAACATCATCCGTATCAGTAATTTAGTTATTCATTTAGCAACGAATTGTTTTCTGTTCGGATCGCTTACGATCACGAAATTCTGTTCCCCTTGTTTTGTTCATCAACATGTATATCTGGCTGTGGCGGGAGATCTGAGGCTATAAAGTCTAGAAATGTGATTCGATTTTCGGTCGGATTCCTGCCTGCTGTGCACAGATTTTCGTTTCTCTCGGAGACCCTCGGCGATTAGTTATTACAGCGGCTGAAACCGTAGTGACTATCGAGATTAAGCTTATTCCATGCTGATTTCCAGTCTGCTTGATTCCTTTTCGAAAATAGGGATGGTCAGTATTTCGCCCTGTATCGTGTTATACACTCCACTGGTCATTGAGGTTGTCATACAGCTCGTCTTTTGGGGACGGTAGTTTCTCGTCGGGTATGCGGAAATCGTGAACAAAAACCGTTCAACATCGATTCCCTGGCGATCACTGATTGAGCTGTGGAGCCGCATCGCACCAAAGCGGGTGTTCTTTATCCACTCAACAGGTGGGGCTTCAATTTAACCGTTACATACGGTACTTACTCTTCGCTGACCAACCGAATAAGCTACATCGTCTGCTGGTGTGCAGAGAAACCATCTAAGGGACTGACGTGATGCAGTTGGATGGCTTATACTAGATTTGAGCCTCCGATGCACCGCAGATAACACTCGCCAGCAGCTCCATTGTGTGCGCAAGACAATTTTATTGATTCAGCTTCACGAGCCCTCATAATGACACACCCCCAGACTCGGGGATTAACAAGGCTGCAATTCAGTGTTTGACGCATCACCTTCAACAGTATGAAAATAAATTGTGGGAGAATATGGCGAGTCTAAGGGTGGGACGGAACGTGAGGGTTGAGGATTAAAGACAACGAGCTAAACAAAGGGTGGGGTATTTGGGCAGTAACCCACTCACCATTGCCCACCCCACTGGATGCAACGGGCAGTGTAGTCTTAATGATCGTGTGCAACGACCGATGCAGTGTGCAGTTTGTTTCAGTTTTCGTTCCCGGGAGCTTGTTTGATGGGTGTTACTAGTTAGTCGAACCATCAAGCGGGAGAATGACTAGGGTTCCCAGCCAAAGCCCTCAGTTTCTGACTGGAACCTGACTGCAAGGCTGCAGATAAGGCTCACCTACTTGGGTCGATTATTCTGCTTTCATTCAGATGTCAGCCGAAATCGAACCCCCAATTTCCAAGGAAGATACATACTTTTCTGGATGGTTTAAGGAATAGCGTAACCATGTTTGGTCATACATTTTTCACCTCCTGTATGTAAAATGTTGGGTTAGTTCAGTTCTCAACCTCACTCTGAACAATGACGTAACTGAGCAAGTCGACAGATTTTGCTACTCATGCAGCTATATCTCACCTGGCGGGCTAATCACAGATGAAGTTTCGGCTCGCACCCAGAAGGCTCGGTTGGTATTTGCAAACCAAAGACATCTGACGCCGCCGCAACATTCGGTCTTCTTTGTAGGGTCAGTTTATGCTGTAGTAGTTGGGTTGGTGCTACTGTATGATGCAGAGACTTAACCGTTACTGAAAAAGGTTAGGTAAACTATCGGTTTTGGATTACCGCTATCTGTACCGCATTGCACGAGTCTGGTGGAACAACCTGACAAATAATACCGAGGTTATGTGCAAGCTTTTGGGTAATCGCGGTGGCTCAATGAAGCAAATGATCACCATCCTTAATGTACGTTGTTTGAAGCAAATAGGGGATGGAGAAGGTAGGCACGAAAAGTCAAAACCTGTTAGATAGTATGGCATTTCTGATCAGGAGACTATGCCACATAGGTTGACCAAGGTTTGCTGATTGAGAACCTCAGGGTCAGTACAATGGTTAGCTGCACTTAGTGACGTGACTGAGGATCGTAACGTCAGCCCACATGAATCTTTACCTCGAATCTGCTTCCAGCTGTTTACTTCTTTCCACTATTCTCTCATCCGAATGGGCGTCCAAAAGTGAGCAACCAAGCTGACCACACGAAAGTGCATAGGTAATAATCTTGCAAACTAAAACTAAATCCTCAAGCTAGGAGACCCAGCTCTAATCACTGCTGTTCCTTTTCCGTTCTCTCGTTTTGATTTGCTAACACCGCCGCTTGAAGATTGTATTGTTTCCTCGTCATATTCTATTTGTGGCATTAGGTCGTGTAGAAGCTTATCTCGAGGTGCTGGATAGAGGTGTCCAATCTCAACCCAATACATCGAACCCGACCATACTGGGGCTTTCGGAAACAATGGAATGAGGCGTGGTCGATACCGCGCAAACTGAGGTTTCCGGAAAATAAGCTCATCATCTGTGTAAAGTTCCATTCGTATTCTTCACAGTCGACTAGACATAGAGAATAACACAGGTCGATGCTTTTGCGAGAAACAGAATGATCTCAGCTCTTTTTACGATTTTCGATTGAGACTACATCTAGGGTAGCGAGTTCAAAATGACTTCAGTTCGTAATGAAAATTAACAAAAATCCCAGAAAATTAAATCATGATCATGAGCTGAGAAAGAAGTGAATCTACCAAGGTGAAGTTGATGAGGAGAAACGCCTACCGAACATCCATAAACTCCTAGTGAGTCTCTAACTTTAAAACCTATCCTATGAGTCACATATAAACAAAAGATATTACTAAATTTCAAGTCAATTATTTCGCTAAATCTTCGAGAGCCTAATGTGGAAACCCCATTCGACGAGCATGATCTGATTAGCAAAACACCGAGCTTCAGGGGTTTGCGAATTCGAGGCCCTATATGTGATTTCGTCTCGAGTAGCTTCCCTCAGGCTACCGTAGTAACGAGCATGAATTATTGCGAACCATCCAGTTTTATTGGTCTCCTTTTCCGTAACTTATGGTATTGAGATCCTGCTTTTCCAGGTTTTTGGATCGATATAAATTGGACAAGAAAATTAAGCAACATTCACTCCTTATATTATAATCATTTTTATCCTCATGCGGACGGTGAATAATAATGTTATGCTGTCAATAAAAAGGCTACCTGTTATGTTTTACATTCTTTTCTAATAATTCCATTGACTTTCGTTTCAATTATTTATACTTGGATGCCTAAACTTTTCGTTCTTTGAATTATTTACGTGTTAGCTGAAGCCTGAAAAAGCTGGGTGCAGTGGTATTCATGATCCGGTTTGTGCCAATATAACTGACGGTTTTTCCCGTTTTTTTCAGCCTCGGTATTGGATTCTGGCGCCAACTCACATCGTCGACCTCCCGATGATCGTTCACAGTCCGCTATTGGATCGCAGAACTCAAAAACGGCACCTTGTTATCAGTTTAGCGTAGCTGCTTTGACGGACGAACCGGTCCGTTCTTCGCCAAACCAAACAAACCCGATGGAAACGACTCCCAGTCCAACTAAGCCTCTGGGAAAGTCTAGCAGTCGGCGTTCTGGTCAACCCCGTGCTCGACCTTCCGCTCGCTTGTCTGTGCTTCACAGTCCTGTGCCGGCAAATGACGAAAACTCCCATGTACATTCCTTCCCTTCAGGGTTTCTACCGACCGCACCACGGAGCGGTTCCACTTCTCCGTTTTCTCATGGACAACCACACGGGTATCACAGACAGAACATACAGGACAAAACTCCAGGCTCTCTTTCATATACTAACAACCAAACCCCTTCAGAATCCAACCGATTGTCAGGTGAACATTCAGGAATGTCGCGGTCAATGACACATCATCGTGCAGACAGATCGCATTCATTCAATTCGGAAACTCCTAAATTTTCTTCTCCTCCTTCATTGTCCACCTTTCCGATGGATCGGCCTTCACCCGTTGCAGGTCTTAATTCTGATCTACCCACGGTGCAGGGGCCGTTTCCGCCACCACATACATTGCCTCCGCCGCGGCCCATGCTTCAAAACAACTCCAGTATCGGAGGTACCAGTAGTGGGACCCTAATTGATCCTCACCTCACCGTTCCGGACCCGCGATTATTGCAGCAAATGCTCGGGGTTGATTTGAATGTGGCTACACAACTTCTTAAAGATCCACGGTTCAAAGAACTGTATTCGTTGACCATGGCCAATTTAACCTCGACTGAAAGAAAGTCCAGTCCGGTTGTTCCGCCAGTTACTAGCCCTCCATGTGCTCGACAGATCGGTCCATCTGGGAGTCGTGCAGTCGAAAACGAATTGCCCACCAGCGTATCGTAAGTGTTTCTTAAAAAGTCCATTTGATCTCAGTTATACGTTGAAAATGTTTCAAATTGGTTGCTTGGACAACCCATTACTTTCAAGCCCTAATAAACCTAACGCCTCGGCCGGTTTAGACTATTGAATACATACATTTGGCTAGTTTGAAATTGTGAAGTGTTTCCCTTTGGCACCCGTCTTACGGTGTGTCACTAGTGAAGTAATATGCCATACAACATCGAGGTAACCGTCATTATTGAGTTATATTTTTTATTTTCAAACATGCCTGAGTTCAGATTATGACAAACAAATCAAGGTGCAAATTTTTATAAAAAAGAATAAAAGCCCATGATTTACTTTAGGGCTCTATGCTGCTAGGTCGCTCAGGCCAAAACAGGTAAATCTTCTTAGGGAGTTCACAGTCGAAGCCTTCGACTACCCAAACCCTACGGGGCTGTGTGAAAACCACAGGCCAGTGGGAGCCGGTGTCCAGTTCATCGAATCAAACGCCCTTTGGACGGAGTCAAACGTCCAAGGTGCCCAAAATACCTGAAGCACAATCGAGCCGGTGACCACTACCACGGCTAGGAAGCTATGGATTAGTATATTTCGTACGCCTCCTCTTGATTGGTTTTGGGAATCAGGGTTTTTAGTCAACTTCACTAGGTGAACTGCTAGTTGTTCACCGCCCCGATTATATCCCCGGATCTTAGGTTTTCGTCCTCTCACTTTGGTGGGCAAACACCTCTGCCACGAGAAGGTAATGAGTAGGGTTTCTTCAGCAGAAGCTATTTGAGACGCTTGGTCGTATGGGAGCATTTCGCGAGTTGCAAGGGAGGGGTGACGAACCGCAACCCTAGACATCCATTCCCGGCCATACTAAGGCTTTCGGAGGCATTGAGGTTTTGGTCTTGCTACTACCCCGACAGTCAATGTGACTTACGCTCAAAGCGTGGATAGATTCCACCGTAATTTACGCTATGCGAAGTACTTTCCTCCTGTGTTTCCTGACATTTGTCATTAATCAAACCTTCGATACCGATCTTTTAGCATGATAATCATATAACTACCGTATGAGATTGGGTTGGTCCAGCCCTCAACCTCATCCTGACGGGAAGTAGTAGAGGAAGTAGACAACTTGCTATCTTACCTGGCGGACACATCTTAGATGAAGTGTCAGCGCGCATACAAAAGGCTCGGTTGGCATTTGCCACACACTTGGAAGTACAGTTTCGCTCTCAACAGAGCACATCACTAGTGCATATCCACGGTCCAACCTTTCGTGGCGCATAAAAACTAGTATTTAACAGTTTTCGATTTTCAACTTTTCTCTTCTAGAGTTCATTCGTTGCGTGTTTTACTTTTGCTCCAGCTGATTCATTTTTCATCTTATGTTTTCCTTCTACAGTTCATCTTTAAATGCCTTGGTCAAATTAGCCTCCACGGACCTTGTGTCTCCAGCGTCCCTCGATATGCTACTGCGCCTTCGTTCCACTCCGGATTCACATCAAGTTTGTCTTGGTAGTTCTCGATCCGGTCCAACGAGTGAGTATGCCGAAAAATGTAGTTCATCATGCATCATTTCACCGCACTTCCCGACAATTTCTTTCCATGACAAACAAATACAAGTTTTTTTATCATACACCACTGCATGATGAGCTGTAGAGTGGGTAAACGTTGTAGTTCCTATTGTTCACTCATGATATCCGGCAACCTCAGATATGGGACTTTGGGTGGAAAATCACACAGAGCCTCATTATTATAGGCGTGGTTTTCAGCTGCACGATTAATTACACAGCTGCCAACTACTGTAGTAGGCTGGTAATTGCAAGGTTCGAGTCTTCGATTCTAAAGTCCATAGTGCATCAGTGACATTAACTTGAACCGTTCAAACATCAACATCACAAAAGGTCTATTATACTTCAATGATAACCGAGTGCGTATTGTTTATGCAGTATCGTCTATTTGTATTTCTAATCTCGTAAAAGCTGAATAAATCTTTTATACCAGTAAGGAGGAAATAAGCATTTTCTCTTTGACTGAATGCATGTTTTGTTGAACATCAAAAACCTGCCCTGGTGTGTTTACAACCTAAAGGATTCATAGATAGCGACGACGTGTTTTGTTGACGGCTAAAAACCACTAAATCTCGTTTGTCGTATGCCATTGATAATCCCAGTCAAAC